GACTTCAACTCCCAGAATTCCCCCCATGCTGGCTGGGGAATTCTGGGAGTTGAAGTCCACCCATCTTAAAGTGGCTGAGCTTGAGGAACCCTGCTATAACGGCTGCAAGAGCCACAGGCCTCTGTTGCAACAACTAGAATGGCTGCCCTATGGAGCATGGACTCCTTGATGCTTTCCCAACCTAGCCTACCTCATAGGCTTGTTGAAAGCACGAACGACCCCGCGAACCGCCGCACGCTACCAGCATCCTACCCTTATCCAGAAAGTCTGCAGCTGACAAACTCAGCCACGCGAGCTTATCTTGGGCTGCGTCCGGTTCGGCAAGAGCGGAGTCCTTTTCTGAAGGAGGCCGCTTCTTGCTTTTCCTCTTGGAAGAGGACATTGCAGCAAGTCAGCGAAGCTGCGAGGCTGAGCTAGCGCCACTTCCAGCGCATTTGGACCACGAGCGCGGCTTCTTCCCCGGAAGGCAAAGGCAGCTCAAAGAGATATGAAAAAGTTGAAGACCTTCAACTTTAGAGCGCCAACAAAAGCCGCTGCGTCTCCCCGCGGCGTTTTAAAGAGGCAAATGCCCCTGATCATAATCTTAGAGGGCATTCGGATTTTAATGAGATTAAATATCTTTATTTTTAGGAAGTTACGCTGGGGCATCTCTCTTAATTTTCCAAGTCTAGGGATGTTCATTGGCCGGGAGCGGATGTCGCTCTAATAATATATCTCTATGGATACCCACAGTTGCCGGTTAGCAAGCGGCTGCGTTCAACGTCGGAAGTCTTCCCGATACGCCGCATCTCTGGGCACACAGCCTTCGCTTCACTTCCCCCAATAGGAGTACGATTGCAATGCTCTCTCTTTCGTCACTTCCTGTCTAAACTTGCCATTCGTTTGTCCCAAGCAGAATATATGGCTTTAAATGAGACTAATTGCAGGTGCTAAAATCCCAAGACCAGCATATTAAATCATCTGATTAGATTCACTGTTCTTTGTGGAATGTGTTTCTGAGTAAACCCAAATAGTATTACATTCCTAAGTTTTAAGAGTATAACCGTATACTGTACGCTCTAATCTGAAGTGAATCTCGAGTTCTGCGACGCTTATTCTCAAATAAGTGGATATTATTAATTTTATCCCCTCCTGTTTTGTGTGCGTTTTTAATGTAATTGTTTTTATGTATTTTTTAATTGTTGCACGCCGCTCAGAGTCACCTTGTGTGAGATGGCGGCTACATAAATATGAGAGAGAGAGAGAGAGAAAGAAAATAAAATTGCAGCCCCGATCTTAAATATTGACTCAGAATTAATTTAACCTAACTATTTCCCCAGAGCTCGGTTCTGATAAATGGATAAAGAATTGCATTCGTGTTTTGCGGCGTTTGTTTTAGATTCGGTTCTCTTTTTTGGTCTGCCCGTTGCTGTTACGTTGCTTATTAGAATTGCAGTATATAAAACAGGCGTCGTAGTGCAAAACTTCCGTCGTGCGTGGAGTCTTTGGTGCTCTCTGCGCTTGGTGGTTTGCCTGCAGACGTTTCGTTTCATTACCCAACTCGGCTGATGATGTTACCAAGCGCTCCACAGTTCAACCCTGAGCTACAGATATTCTCTTCCTTATCTGTGTGTTAGAGGGAGAGCGCACCAGTTTAAAAGTCCAGCTGATTATCCTGTTCATAACCTCAGATACAGAATCTGGCAATACCAGTATATAGAAGGAAGTTAAAAAAAATAAAAAATCAGTGTAGGATATAAGACCAAATCTGGTGCCACCACACCGAGCAGCTTTTTCAGGCTGGCACCGTCTAGAAGCGTTGGACTTCAATTCCCAGAATTCCTAAAGACTGGAAAATGATGGGACCTAAATCTGACGTTTCAGAGATCAAGAGCTCAGCACTGAACTCTGAAATTATAATGTATTTGATTATGAAATGCATTTATTACATTTATGTGGCCGCCCACCTCAAGTCCATAGTGCCTCCTTCCACTGGAGAGAACGTACCGGTGGGAGACGCCTGGAGCCGTCAGAAGAGCCCCAGGCTGAGCCAAGATTTCCAGCTGCAGCAGCTGCACGGAAGTTCGGTCTGCCACTAATTCTACGTCCTTTCCCTCCGCGTGTCTTTGCAGCAACGCCGCCGCCATGGCCGGCTGGGCTGTTGGGTCGGCGTGCAGCCGCCGTCCTCTGCACCTGCGCTGGCGGTTCCTGCAACAGCCCGAACTCCGGGGCGCCGTGAGCGGCCGCCGCCGCCTCTGCGTGGCCGAAGGAGGGCTGCGGCCGCGGCGGGATAAGTTCGGCGGGCTGAGCTTGCACCTGGCTCAGCTGCGTTCTCCTGAGAGCCTGGACGAAGCCGCCTTCGGGCGCTGGCTACAGGGCAAGTGCCTTTTGCTGGAAGCCTGTGGGAAGACGGGAGACGGGAGCCCCAGACGCGCAGTCGAGCCGTCCGGCCTCTGCTCGCATCTCTTCCCAGGGCTCAGCAGCTTCCCCGGCTAGATAAAAAAACTAGCGCATCTGAATATGTATAGAGTTTCTTTCCCCCAATTCGCCTGATAAAACTGCCCGGGCGTGCTCCATTTTCGGAACAAAACGTGTGAATGGAAAGGATGACCTTGAGCGGCCAAGCGTCGCTCTTCCCGGTAAAAGGGAGCAATGCTTTTTGTCAGCACAAGCCAGCAGATACGCTGTATTAAATCGACCAGGTTTAATACTTCTATTTAGTCTACTAAATGATGCGTGGTCCTTATAAGCAGAAAGTGTTTTCCTGATCAGTTAGCCATGACTACACCTACCTGTCCCCAACTGGGATTGATCATGGAGGCAGGAGTGTGATGAATTAGAAATGAACTGAAGCGCTGATGCAATCGTTAGTAGCAAAACAGGAGAATGGTTGTATTAAGTCAGTGAAAGGCTGTGATGTAGAGAACAGAGGCTTTAATCTGCAATTAAACCAAAATTGCTGTTGCTATTGAATACCAAAATAATCAGGTAGTTATGAATAAGCAGAACTTCATAACAGGTTCTTTCTCATTCATAAGCACTCTTATTCAGTACATTATCTTGATTTCAGTGGATCTTAGCCATAGATAGGTGTATATAGCATTGTAGGCTGAGAGCAGTTCTAATGGGTGTTAAAGGGATGAAATCACAAATCATTCCTCTAGTTCCAGACTATTCGTCTTATTCTTGAAATAGTTTTTTTGAACTAGCCTTATTTTTTTTTACAAACAAAAACTGCAGAGTAGCAATTTTTTAAAGGCCTAGTTTGGAAGCACACCTAAGAGTATTCATAATATTGAGAAATATCCAATTTTAAACATCCATATTCAATATTTCTATTAAGATATGCATTTATTTCATTTAGCAGATTTGCACCCCACTGCAATCCCAGGGATTCCCATATTACAGACTGTGATAATCATTAATAATTACTTTGTTAATATAACTAAAAAAGGAGACCAAATACTGGTGAAACAATCCTCAATTAACGTATTGGTGTTCTGTTAATTTTTTAGCCAGTGCTATTCTCATATTTTTAAATGCTGTTCATCAAAGGAAAAACATAAATTAGTTTTCCAGTGATTGCTAACAACAAAAAATAATTGCTTATGTTGGACTGTTTTATAAGTGTTGGAGGAAATTAACAATAAAACTGCACTGAAATAATGTTAGGGCTGTGCTGCACTTCAGACTGAAAACCAAAAGATACTTTGAAGTCCAAAGGGTGTGTATGTAGCAGGTATCTGCAATGCTTTCAACCAGAACATCTTTTCCTAGTATCAAAATGCAGCTGCAGAGGACACTTTGCAACCCCCAGGATAGGAAACAGCTGCTCTAAGCACCTTAATCAAGTGCTACAAGAGCACCCCCATACTGCTTTTGCATCTAAATGCTGCACAGCCCTACAATGGCATAACAAGAGTGGGAGGGTGGAAGCAGTCTGCCCCAGGTTCAGGCAATAAGGGGGTGCATTGTCACAAGGATGTTACCAGAGGGTCAGCAGTGAGCCTGGGGTCGGGGTGCTGCCAGTCAACTGTCTGACGGCCGGTGGTGCAGCACAGCAAGAGAATGGATCAGGGTGGGCTGGTGATGATGTGGTTGGGCCAGCCTGGATCTTGCAACCCTGTTAGCAAATGCTTTCCTCAAGAACCTTCAACCAAAATGAACAACTAAAGGGCTATTGCCATCACAGATGATAATATGTTCCAATCTGATTACAACCCTTCCGACATGGTCTAGAAAATTGCTGCTGATTGATGTAATGCAATTTTAAATTCAGTGCCCTCTATGGCCAATTTCTGATAATTGATAATTATAAAAATAATGATTTTGATATCTTTCCAAAATAGATTTCAGAGGAACCTTGATTAAAAATTCCCAACTGAGTCATCAAATCCCAATTCCTCTTCCTTATTTCATTTGCTATAATAGTATTTTATAATACTGAAATTTAGCAATTAAGGCTCCATGAGAGAAGCAGCCCTCCAGAGCAACTTTGTAAAGCATTTGAGATCCTGTTGCTTATAAGACCAAATCTAAATAGCATGGCATTACCCCCAGCTTTACCCAGACTGGCTGCACCAGGCTCTAGAGTACTGGGGTCTTTGGGCTGGTTGCTTCCAGAATATGCTGTTGTATTCATCAAGCCTATTCTGGATTTGCCCAGACTGGGAGATCCTCAGCTTTTTACTCAGTGCACAGCACATATGTTCATGCAGGAAAGTGTGATCTTAAGCTGTCTCCATCCCACCCTCCGATCACCTGATTTTATGCCTGCTGAGTTTTTCTGGGTGCAACCGTGTGCCCTGGATATGATCTCCAGAGAGCTCTGGGGTGCCTCTGTCACATCCTGTGTCCCTCAGGTATGCCCTCTTTCCAAAACCTCCCACTGAGGATACCTTTATCTATCTATCTATCTATCTATCTATCTATCTATCTATCTATCTATCTATCTATCTATCAATCATACTTATATAGCCACTCTTCTCACATAAAAGTGACTCTGGGCAATGTACAACAATTAAAAAGAATAAATACATAAAAAACAATTACAAGTAAAAATAACTATAAAACACAAAAGCAATATAACTAAATCCTAAAATGTATTTGAAAAATATTAAGACATTTTATAACTGAATACATGAAATACAGATAATTTAAAAGTAGATTACAGAAACATAGAACTGCGTCTACATAATTCAGTTGTCTTCAGTCTGGTATCTAGGTTAGAATTCAAGTACTCAGAATTTTCAAATACTGTAATAGGACTTTGCACCCTCATTATATCTCAGGCTGAGGAAATCTGGACTAGTTTCTTTCTGACAAACAATATGAGAGAAATAAAAGGCAGACAGTCAACTACTGTTTAAAATTTTTAGCACAGAGGTCATCAGTACATTTTGCTGTGTTTTCCCCCTTTAGGTGCTATCAAGCAATGGAGAGCAGAAGGCCACTTAGCAGTTTGGCTGCATGTTCC